GTAGTCGTGGTAGTAGTGGTAGTCGTGGTAGTCGTGGTAGTCGTGGTAGTCGTGGTAGTAGTGGTAGTAGTGGTAGTAGTGGTAGTCGTGGTAGTCGTGGTAGTAGTGGTAGTAGTGGTAGTAGTGGTAGTAGTGGTAGTAGTGGTAGTAGTGGTAGTAGTGGTAGTAGTGGTAGTAGTGGGAGTAGTGGTAGTAGTGGTAGTAGTGGTAGTAGTGGTAGTAGTGGTAGTAGTGGTAGTAGTGGTAGTAGTGGTAGTAGTGGTAGTAGTGGTAGTAGTGGTAGTAGTGGTAGTAGTGGTAGTAGTGGTAGTCGTGGTAGTCGTGGTAGTGGTAGTAGTGGTAGTAGTGGTAGTAGTGGTAGTAGTCGTGGTCGTAGTCGCAGTCGCAGTCGCAGTCGCAGTCCCAGTCGTAGTAGTAGTAGTAGTAGTCGTCGTCGTCGTCGTCGCCGTCGTCTTGCTAGTCCAAGTGATTTGAGTAGCTGTTAGCAAAAAGAGGGGGGTTCACAGCTAGAGTGTCGTGCTTAGTGGCTGGCGGCTCGTGGCTAATGGTTTGCGAGTGCTAAGTGGTTAGCGGTGAGTGTTTCGAGTAACTAGTGGTTCGTGGTTTGCCTTCGTGTCTAGTGGTCAGACGGTAGTTGTCCGTGAGAAGTGGTTCGTGGTTCGTGATTCGTGGTCAGTGGGTAGTCTGTGGTTCATGGTTATAGCTGCAGCTGTCGATATCACGTCATAGGACTTGTTATTGTCCTTGCTGTTGTTACTGATCATGATCCTCTTTCGGTCGTCAAGGCCGCCAAGTAATTACAATGTAGTCTTCAAGTGCACTTCCCCCTACTACGATTGCCATCACCACTACTAGTGGCATTGTCTCCGTATGCCTCCATGCTACAGTACCGTTCATCCCGAGTCAGAACATCCCTGACCTCTTCGACTTGCATACGTTGGCTCTTGATGTTTTTGGCAGAAGTATCCTTGAAGAATTTTACCAGGTGCGTTTGGGATGACCAAGAAAGCAGTAGCAAGGGCCGATCTGGAAAGAAGATTTTACGACGGCCCAAAGCTTGCGGTATCATGAGATGCTGGCTACGCAAGAGTCCTGGAGTAGCATCAAGCCTCCAGCTTTGTAAGTTGCTGGGCCCAGCTGCGCTAATTATGCAAGACCTGGCGCTGAAAGCATGGAGAAGGACTCGAGAAGGCAAAATCGCATAGGCCTGGGGCTGCTGTGACATCGCCACCGGTGCCGCCTGCGCAACTTGTGGCCAAGCCTCCGGAGGCCCAGATGGCATCTCCAAGCCGCGAGTTCGTGATGGTTCATATCGTTCTGCCAGTGTGTCCGAAAACGAAAAGAAGCCTTAGTATTAAGGGGCGAAACCCTCTCTGAAACGTTTCATGACGCGGACCTGCGGCATTGCCATGGGGCCAGCTTGCGGAACCGTTGGCCAAGCCTTCGGCGAGGTCAACATGAGTCCACACTTCTCGCAGTCTTACGCCATGATGCTTCGAAGACCGAAACTGGTCGCTGGCCGACGACGACGACTACTATTATACTGGGAGCAGCAGTGGCAGCTGTGGCAGCGGAGCTGGATGGCGGAGGCGGTGGATCGGTGGGGGCGCCGGGGGAGGGTCTTTTTCACTAGGAGCAGTAGCAGCGGAGCAGCACGCCAGCATGCTAGCGATCATCACGCACTAGTAACTACTACAAGCTTACAAGAGCTTGGACAAAATCCGACGGCCTGGACGCCGGGCGTCGCGACGAACGGCATTGGAGCCTGCTGCCACTGCTTGGATCTAGAAACTGGATGAAACTGGGCTTGTGTGGGTTCCATGTTTGGAAGGTCCTTACATTCAGGATCAAGTTGCGGGCATGCGCTCAGCATTTCAGGGTTCCCGATGCGTATTGAATGCAACAAGACTACACCTTGGCCTTTCAGAAGCTCTGAAACCCAAGGCCACGCGGGACCCCAACAAGCATGCCAAAGCACCAGAAGAAGCTGCGGTCGTTGAAGATGAGTAGGATCGCTTTACCCTCATCCCTTTAAATGATGTTAACCGAGCGTGATTTATGGTTTGGGATGTAGGGTCACGGTCTCAAATTCCTAAGGAGACTGCCGCCAGCCTGCTCGGCAAGCTGCTCCTCTCTCCGCAGCTGCAGCACCTACAAAACGACCCATCCATCGGTTGGTTTGTCCACAGAAGCTGGCACAGCTAGAAACTCAGGCTGCCAGAACACAAGAAGACCGGAAGACAAACCCACGACCATCAGGAACCAACCCTCTGCCCCACCTCTTGATGGATGCTGGCCTGGCATCGGTTGCACGCGAGTTTCGGAGTTTATCCATCTCTTCCAGGCTTCCGGATGTTGCGGTCATGTCTGCAACAGGGCAAGTTGCATTGCACAAGTGCCGTTTTGAAGGGAAGGAAGCTGCACGAAGACCAAGCGGCATTCAGCCACCTCCGCCCCAGGCACAGCGGCTGCGGGCCCGCAAGCCCTGACCGAAGCCCTGGGACGTCCCGGCCGGTGCCTCCTGCTGCTCGAGCTGCGCCTCGGCCTGCGGAGAGGGGCGGAAGAAGAAGAAAAGGCAGTGAAGGACAGAGACACACTGAGCTAGGGCGAGGGCGAGAGAGAGCGAGAATTGGATTCAGGGTGAGGGTGAGAAAGATGGAGGGCGAGAGGAGCAGAGGGGCCAGACCGAGCCGTACTCACTTGGCCCAGTGCAGGCGTTGCGCATAGGAGAGAGAGAGAGAGAGAGAGCAATCCTGAAGAGTTGAATGGCAAACCTGCAGTATTCCGGCCAATAATATGCCCCTTGATTGAATCCCCAAACCCTACTCGTCGGACCGGCCTGCTTCAGCGCCAGCAAGCGGGCAGAGGCCAGCGGATTGCTCTGGGGGCTTGCAGGCCTCGGCCGAAGATGGTGCTCCCGGCTTCCGGGCGTGTTTGGGCTGGTTCTGGGGGGTTTCAAGCTTAAGGTTTAGGGTGCATTTGGGGATGTTTGAGGTTGGCTCCGGGCGTCTTTTGATTTAGGGCGTTGTCATACATAAATGAAAGGTTTGGGGCTCAGACCTTGAGATTGAGGCTTTAGGGCAGTTTGGGACGTGGGCCGGTGGCTCCGACCCCGTGCTCAAGAGACTGCCTTTGCATCCGTAGCCGCACCACTCTGCGGGAGTCAAAGGGAATTCCTTCGTGAGATTCCGACTCCCCGCACATGCGGGGTGCACACCGAAGAGAGGTTCACTTCCGAAAGCCGTGCTTGAAAGTTCATGGGCAGTCAGAAGTATAGATGTTGGCACATAAGATACGAGTTTCGTCTAGGGCTTGGGGTTTACGGCTCAAGTACTTCGTTGAGGCTACCCGTGAGTATAAGATACCCTGAGTTCATCAAGCATCATCATATCCCCACTAACTAAGAGCCCACTGACCCTTGAGTCTGAACTAAAAACTCAAGCTAACCTGTTCCATTGAATACAGGTGGGTAGTAGTCGTCGTGGTGGTGATAGTCGTGGTGGTGGCAGTAGTAGTAGCAGCAGTAGCAGCGGCAGTAGCAGCAGTCGCAGAGGCAGCACGGCTGCTAAAACCGTTCTCAGTATTGTCATCACTACAATCATTCATTATTGGTATCACTACTACATTGTGTGTGTGCGTGTTTTGGTGTCTTTTCTGTATCTAGTTATTCTTCTTCCTGTTTCTGTCGTCATGAAAAATTATGATTGTTACTGCAAGGAACCCCATTATGACTCCTGCTTCTATTCGTCTATTCGTCAACACGTTCCCCCTTCTTCCCCCACTTTGCCAACTTCTTCCAGTGATGGGAAGCCAAAATGGGTCCCATTATGGGAACCCTAATCCCTACTAAACCCCCTAGGCTAAAACCCCTTTTTGGCCTAACTCTAAACCCTAAACCGTGATTCCGGGGCCTCGGCGGGGACCCGGTGGCCATCTGCACGTAGGCAGCTCCAAGTCCGAGGCTAGGCTCCGCTTTCGGCGAAGTCAAAGCGGCCTCCTGGAAATGGCCGAGACGGTAGGGTTTAGGGGTTTAGGGTTTAGGGTTAAGGGTTTAGGGTTTAGTGTGGTGGGGTGTCTGCTTGGAGTGTAGGGATCTGATTTTGGGCTCCGTGGCTTCGGAGTTGAAGCTTTTGGGGGGCTTGTTTGGGGCTGACACCCTACACCCTTTTCCCTAAACAGTTTGGGGCTGAGAGTTGTTGGGATTTTGGGGTCAGGATTTGAAGTGTTGGAAGCTCTTTTGGGGTCGGGGCTTACACCTCGCAACACGAAGTCGGGCTTACACCCGAAGCATCAAGCAGCCCCGAAGTTTCAAGGGCGAAGACACCCCCCCAAAAAACCCCAAGCTTCGGGCTTAGGCAGCCCGCTTCAGCAGGAGTCACGTCTACATCTCAGAGCTTGTGCTCTGTAGGAGCTCGTAGGGCCTTCTCGGGAGGCTAAGGTTTTGCAGTGTCGGCTTTGCGTTTGAGCTCTTTTTCGCAGAGCTTCGTGCAGGGCGATAACGTCTGCTCTCTGAGATGGCTTTCCCTGCCTCCGGAACCCGAGCTTTCCGAGATGCCCTGAAACGAAATATAAACTGAACCCACGGTTTCCGGAGAGCTAACTGGAAGCCGATATGACGAATCCTCCTGCGTCGAAACACCCCAGCTTCGGAATTAGAAGTGTCGCGCCCTCTCGGTCGGGCGCATGCGTATGATCTCCTTGGTGGTCCAGGTGAGTGCTCCTTGACAACCATATTCACGCGACTGTACCACTTCTTCTGAGCGGAATTCGACAAGACCGGCATCTTGAAGCCCGGGAATGCTTCGGAATCGGAGGGCAAAGGAGCGTCAGCTTCTGAAGCGAAAATGGCTTCACTCTTGTGTTCCTTGGTGCCTGCATGGGTAGAACATGCCGGGCTGTGCAACGCCTCGCGCAAAAGCATCTACGCAGAGAGTTTGACGAAACATTCACTCAACAGAAAGGGTCCATCATGGAGACCCGAAGTAGGAAGTCTCTTGCAGCTAATTTTGATAATCCATCGCAGATCTGCCTCCATGCCAGCCATCCGACCGTCTCCGGACCCTCCTTTCACAAGTGCTGATGGCCGCATTGTAGGATATGTCAGTAGCTCCGATGCGGGTCCGATCCATCTGCAAAAGCAGTTGCAAAGAGCTCTTCCAGCGACCGGCCTTCTCACCGGCACTGAGGGCTCCGTTAAAGCAGATCTCGTTTGGCACAAAGCGAGACTGGGACATGGCTGACAGCCCTTGAAGAGCCTGTGGCCACCTCGAGCCTTTCTCACAAGCACTTATGGCGCTACTGTGGCTGATTTCGTCTGCACCAACTTGTGCGCGGCCAAGGCCAGGCAGAAGAGACAAAGCCGCCCGCCACTCACCCACTTTACCCACGGCGCTGATGGCAGCGTTGAAGCCGACATCGTTGGGCCGGAGCAGTGCTCGAGACATCGCAGCAAGCAGTTCGAGTGCAAGTCTCCATTGTTCACCTTTCTCCGAGGCACTGATAGTGGCTGCAATGTGGACGTAGTTGCTGCGCACAGACAGGGCTAGCATTTCTATGAGAAGCTGCTGTGCGATCTGCCACTGCAGCCCCTTCTCACATGCACTTATTGCGGCACCGATCGTGACCTCGTTGGCACTGCACTGACCATCTGCCATGCGAGAAAGCAATCGCAAGGCCATCTGCCACTGCTCAGAGCCCTTCCAGGCGCAGCCGTGGATTGCTGCACTGAAGCTGATTTCACTTGCACGAACCATGGCCCCAGGCATTTCCGTCAGCAATGACAGAGCGATTTCCCATTCTGAACTCGTGGCACAGGCACTGATGGCCGCATTGTAGCTGATGGTATCCGGCAGTAGCTCAACAGTTGACAACCCAAACAACAATGCCAATGCCTTGTCCCACTGCCCGGCTTTCTCGCATGCGCTGATAGCAGCGTTGAAGCTTACCAGGTTGGCATCTACACTTGCAATCCCCATGCCACGCAACAGCTGCAGTGCAACAGTCCACTGCCCACCCTTCTCGCACGCACTAATTGCGGAGTTGAAACTTATGCGGTCTGGGAAGATAGCTTGTGACGGCATGTCTAAAAGCAGCTGGAGAGCCGTCTGCCACTTTCCAGCCTTCTCAGTGGCACTGATTGCTGAGTTGTAGCTGATGGTATTGGCTCGGAGCTGCCTGCTGAACATCTCCGAAAGTAGCTGCAGGCTCACGTCCCACCGCAAACCTCGTCCGCAAGCGCTGATGGAAGCGTTGTAGCTTATGGTGTCTGGGTCAAGTTCAGCTTGAGGCATCTCTGCCAGCAGCTGCATGGCAACAGACCAGTGCCCCGCCTTCTCACAGGCACTGATGGCTGTGTTGATGCTGATCTCATTCGCACGCACATCGGAACTGTCCATAGTCGAAAGCAGCTGCAGGGCACTTTGCCAACACGCACCCTGCACGCAGCTGCTAAGGGCTGTATTGTATGTGATCGCATCGATCTGAACCTTGGCCTTCATCTCCAGAAAGACTTGCCACGCTTGGTGCCAGCGGCCTACTTTGACCAGCACCCCAAGAACCAGGTTCAGACTTCGCGTTTCAGGGGGCCTAGCCACCTCGCTCGCCAGAAGATGCAGCGCGGCTTGCCAGCGACGGGAGGCACCATGGGTGTGAATGTTGCTTGCTCCAGCCATTTCATCAGCTGCACTTCGTCCAGCCAGCGAGGTCTCCCCGCGAACATCCATGTCCTCGTACTGGCGAGCTGCTTGCATCGGCTTCTTCACCCTTGCAAGTACCTTCGACGCTGCTTCTGGCAGGACCCTACAGGTTTTGGAGAGCCAAAGCGGATGCAAAACAAGCCCCGTGACCTCATGCCCACAGTCCAAGACGCGCACCAGCGGGATAAGTGAATGCAACCGCAAGTTCTTGACCCTGTAGGCTCTCCTCAAGCAGATCTCTTGGACTACGACCCGAAGTCCGCAGCAAAAAGCAGTAGAGGTCGTAGAGTTAGACTAGGGTTTTGGTGCACATCCTACTTCGCAGTAACACATAGTGAAAATCACGACGGAAGAATGCTTCCCCGTCAAGTGTCTTCTAGTGTTTTACTGGTACAGGTTGCCGATGCCATACGCCACGACAAATCATCTACATTTCCAGGTTCAGTGTAGGCTTTTCGCCCAAACCTAGATCTGTAGATGATGTGTTTAGTGTATTTTGGTGTCTAGGGCCTAGGGTTTCGGGGCTTTTTGAGATCGGGTCAAAATCCTAAACGGCGGAGTTCTCGCAACAGACGCACCCGTCATGCCTCGGCGGGGCACGGGCAGCGCTTGCCAGCCTCGCCTGCCGCCTTACCAGCACAAGAAATTCAGCTTTGGAGAAGCCAGTGATGATCTGCCGCTGCGCGAGAAAAGATGCATGGGGCTTGCCAGAAATCTCTAGGCATCCAACAGCCAATGACCTTAACATCTCAGAAAGTCGCAGCCGGAATGGCACTACGTTCTAGGCTTTATCATCGCGCGGTTCTGGGCTACAGCTACACTACCGAAGCTGCCACCCAAGAGATCCATGGCCGTCATACCCCAACCCCATTGAAGCCGAGCCTGCACCAAGGGCTCTTGGACCTTCATGGGGCACGAAGGTGGCAAATCGAGCGCAGCATGACGCACAGCACATGTGGACTTCTGCCATGCAATCGGAACTCTCCCGCGCCCTTCCTAGCGACAAAGAAAGCTCGATCCAAGTCCAGTAGTCAAGTTGAAAACCCGGTGGAACTTCAGAGGTTCAAAGGTTTCGCGGACACGAATACCTTGTTGCATCATGTTGTTTCCTCTTGTTGCTCTTCTTGCTGGTGGACTTCTCTGCGTGGTTATAAAGAACTCAGGACTCTTCAATAACATTTCCGCTAGCGCGCTCTCGATGGTAGTAGGTGGTGTTTACGTGAGGCGGCTTGTGCGGAGAACAGAGCCCGGAGGTAGCCGAGAATCCTTAGACGCTTCCGCATTCCGAAGTGGAGGCTGGGCTTTCGAAACATTTGGGATAAGTGCGGGGTCTCTTTCACGGGTCCTTCAGCTGAATCTCAGCCCACAAGCCCCAAACGCAAAAGAACCCCCTTTTGCGGAAGGCTTTTTGAGGTCACGCCTGGATATGCGCACTCAGGGGACATGCACGGATCGTACAGCGAATCTTACACAACAACTCCAAAACCCAAAACCCTAAACCCCAAACCCTAACCCCTAAACCCTAACCCCTAACCCCTAAACCCTCACCCCTAAACCCTAAACCTTATAACCCCTAAAGCCTGCCCCAACCCATGCCCTCGGAGCCTTGCGCACCAGGCTCAGAGCGCCATCCGGGCCTTTCACCCGCGCCAGGCCGGGATGCCAGGGCTGCGGGATCCTGGCATAAAACGCACAGCTACATTCATGCACTATGACATAGTATGATACACTCTGATATGCCATAATATACTCTAATATATAATTTACTATAATATACTATAATATACTATAATGTGCAAAAATACACTATCTCTCCCTCTCTCTGCCGTGCCATCATCAAGAGTCTCGCAGTGCAAGGGGGCGAAATCGCAGGCTAGAGCATCAGGAGGCATAGCACGCATGCTGAACCTCCGTCATTCTTCGAGCCCACTAGATTATACTACAATAGATTAAGAATACCATAATATACTTTCACATACTACAATATACGATAATATACGTTAATATACTATAATGTACTATTACTATAACATACTATAATATGCTACATATAATATCTTTTTAGCGTGTTTGTTGGATCTCGGCGCTCACAGTCGGTGAAGGGGTTAGGGATGTTTAGGGCTTGGCCTTGCCGGGCTTGTGGGGTTTCAGGGCTTTCGGGATTATCGGGCCTCTTCGGATTTCGGCGCCCACACTTGGACAATCCAGTCTTCGGATTGAGGGGCAGGTACTTGTAGTGCTCAGGCCGTAGACATGATGCTTTGAGGACTGAGGGTCAGATAGATAGAAAAACTGATAACGATGTGTAAATACAGTTACATAGACGTATATGTAAGTATGCGTTATGTTTTCGTCATAGCCTGTCTTACATCTTGCACCTTACAAGTATGTATGGACTCTGATTTTTTTGCATCCGGGCTGTCTAGCATTACTTGTGTAACTAGTGTTTCTACTTCGACGATACGCAACGTGACAAGCTCATTTGGATTGGCTGAACAATCTCTCGAGCTTGACGTTGAGGATGTTTTCCATGCTCGGGGCATCTACAGGTCACCGACAATCTGTGGTTTTGGTTGCCGGCAGCCTTTTTAGAAGCGCTCTGCTCTATGAACAACGGACAGGCCGACATGCACATGTTGGGGTTGGTGGTTTCTGCGTAGGATGCGCTTTGGACTACGCCAAACCTGCCATGAAGACATAGACGCTGCACATCAAGGCCCCCTCTGCAAGCAAAACCCGTCGCGGAAGCTAGAGTGCAAACATGGCATTTGGCGAACTTGCATACGCTGCCGCAATGCATCTGAAGTCTCTAGGTGCCTTGAATGAAAAGCATGTTCTGGTACTTGCTACCGAAAATTACACACATCGACAACAAAATGAGAGCAGAAGCAAAACTGCGTTTCATAAATTGCCCTTCAGCGAAATTGGGCTCTACACCTCTTCGCCCTGCCTGAGACTCGGGGAGAAGAAGCTGCCGGAAACGGCAGGCACCAGCGCCCAGGTGAGCAACAGGGCACGGCTACATTGCCTAGCTGAGGCTTGTTCCTACCCCTAAACCCTAAACCCTTTTTGCATCCAGGCCTATTGCGCCTGCCGGGTCCTGAAGGAACCCTAAACCCTAAACCTTTAAGCCCCACATTCGGAGAAGGGGGTGTTGGTGGCTTGGTTCAAGCTCGACATCCCAAGATTTAAAGGCTTCAGTGCCAGAGCTTCTCAGCCTATGGGAGTTTCGGAAAATAGGGTACCCTAATATAGTAATACTAGGATCCTCAAGTCCTTATTACAAGGACCCCAAAATAAGGTGCCCCTGTTTTCGGAAACTCCCATATGGGGGATGAGAATCCCTCTTTCAGGGGCCCATGCCCCCTCTCTCCCTCTCTGGATTTCTCTCTCTCAAGGGCCTAGGATACAAGTCTCCGCGTGGAGCGTGTCAGTGCAGGCTCCAACGCATTGAAACACACCCAAGAGGGGCCTTAATAAACTATAATTGAAAGAAGGGGCCGTCAAAACAGTAATAGGTACTATTTACGGCCCCGAGATTACAGCCTCCACATCTCCACCACCTCACAGCGACCAAGCAGTCCACCGACGACTTTGGCTCCAGAAACAAGCGGCAACAGGAAAGCCAAACTCAATTGCGGCTCAGCTGCATGACTCCGATCGTGCGGAAATCCGCACCGCCAATCGCTGCTCGCTGTGCGCTCTAACAAGATATGGATTAAACAGACCCGGTAGCATCTTTCAGGTTCATGCCAGGTTCCTTCTCATTGCGACAGAAGGACCGTGGGATTGTGGTATCGGAGTTCATGTCATCCCATCTGCAGCTGGGCAGGCGGAGCTGCGAGCCGGGAAAGATCCAGCGGATGCAAAAACTGACATGGGCAGCCGACACGAGCAGACTGAGTCTGCCGATATCCCGCTGAAGGTAGGCTTTTCCTGGGAAAGCCCTACACGACCGGATGACCCGAAACCCCCGAAACCTCGCGACACACCCCGCAGGAAAGATAGCAAAGACTCTGTAGGCCAAACCGCACCTTCCGGTGCGGCATCCGCTTCTCTGGGGGCAGGGTTTCGTCCATTTCGAGCATGCCGAGAACCTTTGAGAGCTCGGAGAGGCCAAGTTCTACAAAACCCAGGGGCCAATGTGTCCTGCATTGGATATGTTGCAAATTTCACATTATATGTTGTGTCCCTACCTCTGGCATAGGGAGTCCTTTGGGGGCTCTGAACGACTCTCGGCCAGTCCTTTCGGTTCTCGTGTGTCGGTGCTTGCGAAAGCCTAAGTCAAAGCAACCCACAGGCAACAGCAAGCCTTGAGCATCAAGCTTGCCGACACTCAGATAACCCCATAAGTAAGGTGTCGGGTCATGTCCAAGCAAGCAGGCACTTCACGTGCTCCCGGCACCTCACATGCTTGCGGATACTGCCGACAGATCGAAAAGAAGAACCGGTTCTCAAGCGACCCAGCAACTTCGGACCAGGGACGTGAACCCGCAGTATCAACCTTTCAAAGGCACCCGACGAGCCTCAAGCCCTGCATGCAGGTTCACTGAGGTAAGTAGCACTACTACAAAGAAGCCCCCCTACCAGAATATTCGGCATCCTATCGGCAAGGTTTGGATCAAAGACTTCAAGCCATGGTCCTGGGATCCAGTCTCTAGTCTCTCGGATTCAACCCTGGGAAGTATGAAGAAAAGATTCGCACATGCTTTCTAATCTGTTCAAACAAACGCATCAAGACCCCAACCCCAAAGCCAAAGCCCTGAAAACCCCTCTGAAAAGCCTGAAAACCTTGAAACTCAGCCAAATCGCATCCTCGTAGACATCCTCCGCCAGGTACCGCTCCGTGAGGCTATGGGTGGCAAACAGGAAGACGCCTCAAAACGTGAGGCTTCGGTTCTTCCGGGGGCCCCAGGCCCTGAAGCCTAAACTTTGGGTTTCACAGCTTCGAAGCAAATCGAAGAGCTAGGTGGTGGCATAGAGAGGGCTTCGAGCCTCACGTGATGGCTGTGGCTCGGGCTCGAAGTGGACTTAGAGCCCTAGAGCTTGGCATCACACCGCAAGCTCGTGCCCGATCCAACCGCAAAAATCAAAACCCACACGGCCAAGGAAACAGGGCCAGGGGCTCGGGAGCCTTACTCCTTCCGCTGGGGCGTAAGAAGGTTTCAGTTTCAAGAGCTTTCGGGCTCAGAGGAGCCTCAGCCGAAGATCTCAGACTTCCTGCGTGTTCTTGAAAGGGACCTCCGCTACCCCTCGGCGACTCAAGGAATCGGAAAGCAGAAGTCTCGGCCGCAGCTGTGAGAAGCCGGGCAGACTCCGTTTCGCGAACTGCAGAGCCGGGCCTTTCACTATCTGGAAGATGAAGGACAGATCTTTGAGGCTCTGGAGGTCCTCCGAGGGAAGAGCAAGGTCAAAGAGGCCCTCCTGCACCGTTCCGCTGATGACTTTGCAAAAGCATCTTTCGTAAGCTGCCTAATGCTGCAAGGCGGATGGCACCAGCAATTTCTTTTGTTAGAAAAGGGCTCCGCACCTGAAAGGCAACTTCTTCGAAAGCCCGTGCTCCCCATATCCGCACCCAAACTCACACATCAAAACTGCCACCGGACCGCTCCCTGCTTCATCGATGGTCGATTCAGAAACCTTCAGACGGCCCCTGGGAAAAATGGAGCTGGGCTCATCTTCCGCGGAGCTCCTCCGCACTGTGGAAGGACTCCCGGAGTTCCTGTCGCTGTTATTGGCGATTTATGGGGCTGTGGGTTTAGGTTTGGATCTTGGATTTTATGAACGTCCCTTTTCCATGTGCAGATAGGTTTGGAGTTTAGGGTGTAGTATAGTACAGCAGGCACTTCGGCTGAGAGATGGTTGCGGTGAAGGAATGAGTTCCAGAACAGCCTTCAGCCTTCAGCAGGCCTAGAAACAAGAGGGCACAACCTCAGGAGCCCAGCGAAAAGCAGATGCCATCCCGACATGTTCTATTGCTGGCTTGACACAAACATGGTTTCGCAGCTACAAGGAAAAGCTGCCTGACTACTCAGAATGCGTTTCTGTCAGGCCGCTGCACTTCAAGGTGGAGAAACAACACCTGCTGAACTAGATGCATGCATATCCAGAATTGATCCTACATGCATATACACTTTTGTGCACAGGGATGTGTGCATGGATATGCTATCAACAGAATGCGGCATAATGCAGAATTAAGCACGACATGCACACACGGATGCAAACATAGCCTTCTTCAGTTCGTCTCAGCAACATAATAATGTCTGAGACGGTTAGTGGCGACGATCCAAGAAGTGTTCGTGCTGATGAAAGTGTTGATGTTAAGAACCTTAGCAACTCATGGAACCAAAACAGCACAGAGCTCACTCAGACATGAGAGCAAGCTCCTGCACGAACTCCTCACTAACAAGCTCGGCAGCAAGTCCTTCACGCTGGCCTTTCAAGACAAAGAGGGGCGGTTCTTCCCGGGGTTGGAGCTTCGACTTGTAGACAGCGGAGGGCATCCAGTCGCCCGGGTGCGGGCCAGTTCCGACAAGCTGACTGCACTGGCTTCATGTCGCACTCGGATTCTGCAGAAGATTCTCTGTCATGGAGCTTGCTGAGCTATGCGTGCGCATGCGTCCTCTGGGTTCGACCCCTTGAAGAAAACAGGGACCCATTCCTGGCATAAGAAGCCTCAAGCATGAGCAATCCCCCTAAAAGGAAAGAAACATTCATAGCTCCCATCTCTGCCTCTCTCCCTGTCGTCAGCTGCAGGCAATAGGGCAATAGCCGAGGCAGGCCAATGGAACGCAAAACGACCACAGAGCACGAACCACTCCCCAGAAAATTGAAAGCTGACACTGGCTTCCGGGTTGGCTTTCGGTTCGGATGGAACAGGCTGCGAGCTCACAAGTCTGGGAAAAGCCGCGAAGTCTCCTTTAATTCTAGTCCCGAATTCTTACATGGCGTCGGCCTTGGAATTGTCGGAATACCGTTTGTTCGCTACTGTTTTCGCAAGTTTGGACTCAAGCTCTTTTCAGAACTTGGTGAAAACGGCTTGGGCTCTGTTTTACCACAACGCTTCCCGCAAGTTGAACCGACAGAAGTAAGGGAGTGTTGTGTCCCGGACTAAGCCAGTGACTGAGCAGTGTTCAGGAATAAATGACAGTAGTGCATCCAAACTGTGAGAGAGCAAGCTAATTCGAAAGAGAGGTGCAGATGCTCAATCATGAAAGCGCAGCTGTAGACCCACACCGACCGTGCGATGCCACGAGAACTGAAAGCCCTGCCTGGCGCGACGTACTGCAGTTTTCTTGCCAGCTCCTGCAATGCGTGGCACACAAAGGCACGCCCGCGCGTGATCAGAAGGCCTTTGATATACCTTGTGTATACGATTCAACGTTATGACACATGGTCAACAAAAGCTAAAGCCACCACCACCACCACCAACAACCACCACCACCACCACCACCAACAACTATAACCACAACGAGGACGAGGACCGCTACAGTACCATCATCGGCATCACTGGCATGGTCCGCATCATCGCCACAACTGTCGCCATAATCATCGCAGCACGAAGGTGCTGAAGCTTGTAAATCGCAAGTCTATGTAATGAACAAGAAGCCAAAAATGGTGCAAAAAAGAAGGTATGAGACACACGACATCGTTGAAACATTGTCAATCAATTCTTGTGCTGAGAAGGAGCCATTGGCGAACATAGCAATTGTCAGGACACCCTCACCGAGTCGTTTATCAAGCTGGGCACCTGAACCCATGGCATCTAGATGCCACGCTGGCTTTTGTACCCAAGCTCCTACATGCCCAAGCTGTCGGGATCCGGGACACCATGTTGTGAACTGATGTGGACAGAAACATCAGGAACACAAGCCAAAGCTGTAAAGAAACCCTAAAACAACACGTAGATGTAACACCAAGAAGAGCCTCAAGGCCTGAACCTACATCGACACACTACACACTGAAGCCCCCTAAGCACTGGCCCCCCCCGCGCCCTGAGAGTGGCCTGGAGGTTCGGAAGCTTCGGTGGAGGAAGCATCCGCTTCTGCTCGCTAGGCCTCGTTGCTCAGGCTGCAGCTGCTTCGCACACGTAGCATCAACGAAAGCAAGTGGATGTAGCAAGCGATACTCTGTGAAACCAAACAAGCCAAGAAAAAGCTAACGCTGGAGTATCCGATAGAGAAGTGAAGAGAAACAAAAACGGCATCAGCTGCGCTTGCGGAGGAGGTAAGCGTAGATAACGTACCAACAATGACAGGCAGCCATTCATTTCCTGGTTCTTCGCGCTGGTACAAGCGTTAATGGCAGCACATACTAACGAAATGTTTTACACGAACTCGTGGTTCTTCCAATGTCGCTCGTATTGTGGTATTGCACAACTTCAGAAAACCTCCAAGAGCCTGTCAGCGATGTGGCACTGATGTGGCCAGGCTGTGGCGGAGCGTAGTGCAACCATGATGCTGTGGGCGACTGCTCATGCTTCGGCGCTTCATCTGCAATACTGAGACAGCGAGTCGTTTCCAGACAGCAGTACTGGCAGTAGTCCGAGTTCCTAACTGCGGTGCTGCTACATCGTAGTCAGAGGCTTGCACCGATTCATACATGATAGGCGGAAACGGGGGGGAGGGCTGACAAGACTTCGTGCGACAAAAGCCCGCACCGCACTGTCACCTCGCACTCTTGCCATGAGAAGAAACCGCATGCCTTGCCGACGAGCTGGGGGACACACTCATGGCAAATGAGCTTGTATATCTCCTGCCCGCATCCAGAAGGTGGAGAAGGGAAGTAGAGAACAATAGCTTGCAAGAACTTCAAAATCCTCGTCTTGCCAGCCGAAAGACTGGTGAGTCAGTGAAGAAACGACAGCGACGATGAGCCCGCAATCACGCAGAAACGCAGGCCCGGCACACCCTAGCTTTCCGATGGCGTACAGATCCCGGAACCCCGAAGTGCTGGAAGCACCCCGAAATCCTCGAATGCCACCCTTAAACCCCTGCCTAGGATGAAGTACGTATACAAGAACCTCAGCCCAAAACTGACCCTTGTTACACCCAGATCTCCCAACTGTTTTTGGGAGCATAAACATCCCCAAACCCTAAAAGCCACTGATCCCAAAACCTGTCAGGAGCTCTAAACGGAACCCTACGGGTGTATCCTAAAAGACCGTTAAAACTATGCTAGACTATTTCTATTTTACCCTATACTATACTCTACAGAGGGCCCTTGGCCTTGAAAGACCTGACCCCAAATCCCCCTGAAACCCTAAACCCTAAACCCCTGTGCCCGTGGGGGGCCTGTGAGCCGACCTCGTCCTGGAAGCTCAGAGCCTCAGTCTTCGCTACTTCGGCATCTTTAGTCTTTACTTGGGAGTTTCCGAACATTAGGGATACCGTATCTTGGGGTCCTTATAATAAGAATCCTACTATTTAGGGTGCTATACTAGGGTCCCCTATTTTCGGAAACTCCCTCAAGGGGCAGCTGGCTGAATCAGTTCTGCTGACTTGAGGTTCCTATCTTTATGCCCTTTTACACGTGGACTTTGCATATGCCAGGAACCGAGGCGCCCTAAACCCTAAACCTCATTCCATTGTCTTGTTGTTGCTCGTGGTGGCAGTGGTAGTAGCAGTCGTCGTCGTCCTCAGCAGCAGTAGCCTTAGCAGTAGCAGTAGCAACAGCAGTAGCAGTAGTAGTGGTGGTGGTGGTGGTGGTGGCAGTAGCTACTGGTATAAGGAACGACAATCATCTCAGCTTCACCATCAAGCTGGCTCATGTACCTGTATGCATTCGATGGCTTCATCTGTCACTCCGATCCTGAGAATATTAGGCATCTGGAGAGTATGGTCAACAATGAGAGCCCAAATCCTATGCAGTCAGAATGTCTAGCACGTCGGGATTAGCAACCCATGTCTTAGCCACGTCCCCGCGGCAGTGACACGTCTACAGGCTTGACTAGTGGTTCTGTTGGCTTTTCAACTCAAGTGAAACTTAATTTCTGTCTGATGCCACTCACTGCTCGAGAAGAACATACTCTAACGCACTTGATGTTGCTTTTGCACTTGCCGTTGCTTCTGTCCCGGGTCTTACCGCTTCGCTTAAAACCCCCACTGGTTGGCAGCCGATACTGCTACCCAGCACGGTTGCACACATCGCTTCCCCAATCGGGCTTGGATCGATGGAGTTGCCGAGAGCAGTGTTCCGAGAGACTGCAATAGCAGCAGTGAAACTTGGGCCACATAGGTAGGCCTTTGGGTGCAGCCATCTCGGCTGGCAACTACAGAGCTGCAGTACTATGTACTCACCATCGATGGTATCTTTTACCACCAGTGAATCAGGCGGCACGTGCCCTAACGTAATGTACCATCTTCAGCTGCTACTGGCACCAATCAAAGTGCTTGTGCCAGTGTGGCCTGATTGCATAGGCAACAACTGAAGCCTTTTTTTGCACGTGCGATTAGCGGGCTGTTCAACATGCCCGGGACGATGACCACAGTCAACACTACTCCCAATCTGAACCGTATCCGCTGAGTGCTGGCTTAGCCGTGTAACGGACCAGCGAATATGGGCGTTTCCAGTCCTTCGGCACACGGGCCACGACTTCGATTCGGAGCTCGGCGCTTCCAAGCTTAATCCAGCTAAGCTTGACAACAATGTCTGCACCAACTGGGTCATCCATGTGACATAGGTAAAGCTGATCCTCGGGGGCAGGCAAAACACCCACTGTGGCGGGCGGCTCCAAGTATTCGGTGTCCGGACCATTTTCCAGCCCGTCGTTGCAGGAGTGTATACGCGTGCATGGGAACAAGGATTTGCACTCTCTGTGGATTCGTTGAGCATCATTCTCCGAGATGCCTCCGCCATTTAATTTGAGATCGACTAACGACGGCAAATGCTGTAACCCGACATCAAGGCGTCCCTTGCAGAGTGCCTCGATGCTGCGAATGCGCTCCACAACTTGTCTATCAGCATGCACAGGACAGGTTTCATCCAGGACCTTCTGCAGTACTTCGCAAGCTCGCCTGCGACGCCAACCATCGACCACTTCGATGAGCCAGGAGCCGTAGTACTCTTCTTCCCGCTGCCGCTTCTCCTGCCACTTCCTGGGTTCTTGCTAAGGGACTTAATTTACGTTGCCACAATAACGAAACCCGAAACCTTATAATGCACTATAGATCCCTACTATGGTAGCTTTAATTAACTTGCTTAACAAGAACCCAGCTTCATGAGCAGGTGCTCGTCCGCCAGCTCTGCCAACTCCTTTAAGCTGGCGGTCTCAGGGAGGACGAAAGAGATCGAGAAGCCCAGGCCTTGGACCTTCACTTCCACGTGGTCCGCCTCATCTCCGAAAAGTAGAGGGTTTACGGTTTCGGGCTTCGGGTGCAAGGTTTAGGGTGTAGGGTTTCGGGCTAAGGGTTTGTGATCTGGTCCGCCTCATCTCCGAAAAGTAGCCGGGAGAGCTGGGCAGCACTGAGACTCTGCTCTGCCAAAGCCACCCATTTTCGCAGATCATCATAGAACCAATCTTCCAAGCCTTCCCGGAGCTTCCTTGCGAGCCCCACAGGCAAGTCCTTCTGAGGAGGCTTCTCTCCAAAGGTGGAGGGCATGGGCAGCTGGTGCAAGGTCAAAGAGCCTCGGGTCTCCGCCAAGCCTCCCACTAAGTAATCTGCCAACATCTCCTTCTCCACGAGGCCCTGCCATGTCTGAGCATCCTGGGTTCAGTCTTCAGAAGTTTACGATCAAGTTACCACGAGAGGGAATCTTATCATTGGCTCTACTTTCCTGACTTTGTGAACCTGCTAAAACCTGCCAAACGAATGAAACACACATAGCCATCCTATTTCGAGGCAGAGCATCAGGAACAATCGTCCGGAGCCGCTCCTTGGCCTTGGAGTTGATCTCCTCGATGATACGTTCGCATCCCTTTCGGAGCCCTGGGACTTCCAGATAGTTTCGGCGGAAGTAGACGAGCTTCCGGCGTGGGACTCGGTCCGGATCCACGTAGCTGGTCTTCAAGAAGAGCGCCAGCTCTTTCTTGAAGCATTGCTCCAGCTGCTGTAAGCTCCTACCGGCCCACCATTCCTCTCTTTCCTCCTTCACGCGGCTTCGTTTTGCAGAGGCTGCTGGGTCTGCCTTGGGTACGGCCCCTTGCGAGCCTGTGCCTGTGGCAGCCTCTGGATCCTCCTCCGGCTGTGCCCGTGCTGCCGGGCGCTTCGCTACACGCTTGGCTTTGGGCGGCATGGGTCTGAACAACCTCTATATCTCACTGCACTTGCATGTCTGTCAGTACGGTCTGAGAACTACCAACATGCAATAGGTCAATGAAGACTTGAGGTACTACTCACGACTCAGCATCAGCTTCCGATGGGACTGCCCACATGCACATCGTAACCAAAACTTGTCGACCATCTGCTCGTGAGGCCGCACGAGAGAACAAGCGAAGGAGCAGGTCACCGTCCCCGAGAAATCCCGATATGGTTTCTCGAACATGTCAGTAGCTTGCAGTTGTCTTGCTCGCCTGCCTTCTTCAGGCATCTAAACAACATAATTAACACTGGAGGCGTATGAGATTCCGATATGAGACCATGACCTGGGAAGAAATGTCTTCAACACCTCATAAATAGCCCGACCCGCAAAAAGCAGATCGCAGCACGGAGGCCGAGCCCCGTGCCCAGTCTTTCTGGTCCTCCTCATCTTCCCAGACGATGATGGTCTTCTGGGCACCTGGGGCCCAAACCCTGCTCCACCGTTCGGCAGCATAGGGGACTTCGGGTGTTGGGATATGCTGTACTATACTTACACAGGGACGACACCCTATCCGTTGTGCCTTCGCCCTGCAGCTGGTAGACATCCTGCGCAAAGACCGGCCGGTCATGGAGCACCTGCCCACCTCAGACGGCCGGCTTCGTTCGGTTTCTTATTGTGTCGAGCCCTTTTCTTCTGTCGAAACATCCGAATCTCATAAATGGGTTCGCTTCCCCAGGTGCTCCCGCCTAGTGAGCCCACCTGTATTGGTAGCAACCCGGTGGCTCTGGCCCAACGAACAATTTTTCTCATGGCATCGCATTCAGCATGGATGTCATGGAACAGTATGAAGCTCGGACAATCCAGGCGTGGCATGTGGTGACTGAACGGCTAGGCTAGGTGAGGCTACAACTTGCACAAACAACCGAGAGAGGATGCAAAAACAGTGGGCCAGTGCAAATCAGACCCACTCCAAGGGCCTCTCGCCCAAAGTCCATGGTATCTAGATAATCTCGAGTTTAGGATGTTAAGGCTCAGGTTGCCAGATATCCGTGCGAAATGCTAGTCGCAAGTTGCACAAACAAATACCAGGCCTGCCCCACCCTCCTTGAAGGAAGCATGCTCGATATCATCATCCGGCCGAAAAGCTGACCCGAGGCCCTCACTATCTTCATCTTTGAACTGCAGTCGGCGCTGCTGTCCGGTTCCCACGACGGACCTCAGTCGTCAGCCGGGCACAGCAGGCTCAGAACTACACTTTGGTGTTGTTCTAGTTCCCTGCCTCTATTTTTTGCACCACGGCGTAATCCCCAAGCACCCGATGAGTGCAGCCGCATGCCACTCCGCTGGGCGCCACACGCATGACCGGTCCCGGCCTCTTGCCAGGCGGCGGCATCGTTCAGGATGTAGAGTTTCCCTCGATACCTCAAACGCGGGCACAAGAGGGAAGCATATGTCGCGTGGCGTGGAACGTCAGAAACACAGCACAGATGACGACAACGTGATTAGCTGTGCAGAAAAACGAGAAAACCCAATGACTTTCCTGATGGCCTCTACCCTTGGGATCTGCATTTGAAGGCCCAGCATATTCTGCCAAGATCTGCCAAGCTAGAGCTGTGGTCGAGAGCCGGGCTTCTGCTTGTTGCCCTCCACATCCATGGACTGGCTCCTGGGGTTTAGGGTTTAGGGTTTCGGCGCTCACACTCGGACAATCCAGGCGAGGCATATGGTTCGGAGTCTGCTGAGTGAAACGTCTCTGTTTAGGGTTTAGGAGGCCCGAGAAAAAAAGCTTGTTCGCACGACCAAATGCTTGATCGTCGGAACAGCACAGAGTCGATCAACTGCCCATGGATCCGAGAATGTACCAGGTTCTCGAAGACCTGAAACGAATCTTACCCACAGAATCTCAACGAATGTCCAACTCTTGTGTCCTCCCCGTCTCCAGCCGAAACCGGGCGTTGGGACCACCTCGTGTACATGGCACGACTGACCACCGCAAACCGTCCGCAACCACTTGCTTTGCAGAAACGGCACTCGAAGGAGATGCAAACTGATACACATAATTATTTCAAGACAAAGGCACAATTGCTCCTACACTGTGATGCAATAGAACCGACTGAAATGAACGTAACACGCGGAAGAAATTAGAGCTTTAGCAAACGAACATTCCCGGAATAATATTTTGTAACTTTTGGAACATCTGCATTCATGAACCATCGACTGATCATAATCGGAACTCATTCCAATCTTTGGCCTTACAATGCTCACTCCCCTCGTCCTCACTCCCCTCGTCCTCCTCATTCTCCTCACTGGCCTTGAATTTGCTAGTTCTCACCAGCTCCACCCCGCATCAGCCACAATGTTTCCATTCTCGCGATTGTCACAAACCCAACAATCCTTCATGTCTCGTGTTCTCCTCAGCATGTTAATCCTTGCTTTTGTCTGATATCTTTTCGACCGAATCTCGGTCGATGACATTGAGTTCATGGCGCATATTCCGATGATGACGACTGCCGACAATTCAAACCATCGTGTTTGGTCATTGTGAACAATGACCTGTCACATTTACGATCATTGCACGCATTATCATCGCTGCGATCCGCAAATCATTATGCAGTATGACCACTACTGATCAGTATCATGCATCGTCAGAATCAGGTCTGCATACGTGACAATCCGCATCTCGTGAACTTCCGCTGAATGTTCGAAACGACTTGCCTCTCCAGCACCGCCATGCGCGACCTGCGCGATTTCCTGCGCCCCTGTCCCACCACGCTGGAGCCAAAACCAACGTTGCGGTGATGCTTGCCATCCGGGGAGATGTACAACATGAAGATCACAGCGGCTCTCCAATGTTGACTTGAACAGCGCTTACAGATGGTCATGTGTAGGGCCTGACCCAGAACCAAGATGTCGAGAATTTTTTCTGAAGGAAACCCTGACGTCCGCGAACAAGTTCTGCGGTCTTGACGATTTTGTCTGCTAATCTGATGTCGTCAAATGGGTTTCGACGCTCACACTCGGACAATCCAGGCGAGGCATATGAGTTCGAGTCTGCAAAGTAATGGGTTTTTAGGTTTCGGGTTTACAGCAACTGGGAAAAGTTACAAAGCAGGAAATCACGGCCTAGGGCCCTTGGAGCTGCCCAGTGCCTATGGCGATTCAATTTTTTTTTCGGTTTCAGGGCGAAGGTACACCTCGTAGACGCACAAGCCCCAAACTGCGACCCGTCTACTCTAGGTCATAGGGTATGACATCTAAACCCTCAGTCCTTGAAGCCCTGAAAACCCCCAGCCTTTCTCAACCGCTGGGACACATAAACCTCTGCGGAACCTCTCTTCCCCTGCAGCCTACTGACCTGCTAACTTTAGGCACCACGGAACCTAAACCCTAAACTCTAATTTCACAGTTACCACAAAAACTCTTCAGTTCCACCACAAAACCGGCCTTGCAACGAACTCCGGTGTGCCAAGGGGTACTCCAAGCCCAACGAAGCCACGCTGGCCGCAATCCAAACCCATATTGCCGACCCACACGACGCTATCGGGCGCAAGCGAATCGACACCATCAGGGTGGACCCCGGCGCTGTTCCAAACGCGGCTCTTACCAGGGTTGAGGCGGAGTTGGGCATGACGCATTGCATGCTCCTCTAAACGGCGGTGCCGGTGGAGCGCACGGTGAGGTGGAGCCAAGATGTATGCGTCATCTAGGAAGGCTGGGGCTTGGCTTGTTCGTCAGGCCGGAAGTCTGCATGTAAGTCGCGGAGGCAAGTGCAAACGCCAAGGCAAATGAGTGTCCGCATTCGATACTTACATCGTCTGCTCCCGTGAGTGCGTCGCCGCCTTCCATGGCGCCCTCACTGATGCTCTTTGGGACCATGCCCGGGTCAAACTCAACCAGGAAAAAACCCGCGTCTGGAACGCAGCGGGAGAGGAACCGCCGAACCTCGCGGCACTGCAGCCGGACCCCGGCCTTGCCATTGACGTGTGGGTCGGGGCTTGGACCTTGCCTGCCGACCGCCAGGGGCTCGTTGTGCTTGGTGCGCCGCTCGGCGTTGTTAGTGCAGCGCCAGCTGCGAGACCAGCGCCGCGGCCACGTACGATGTCCTCCTCGAGCGCATCCCCGCCCTGCGTGACTTGCAGTCGGGTTGGTTGCTGCTGCTATTTTGCGCCTCTGCCCGCGCCAACTACCTCCTCCGTATGCTTCCTCCGCACTGCACGGCCGATTCCGCCCGCAAACATGATCGCGCCGTTGCTCTGTGTCTCCGCCGCTAGCTTTACGGGGAGGAACCGCCCGAACTGCCGGCTGATGCCTTTGGCACGGTGCAGTTGCCGTTCGGGTTGGAACCTGGGTCTGCGATCTGCGGCCTCCGGCGCATCGGCCGCTTATCGGGCCTCCTGCATGGCAGGATGCCTTCTTGCACTGCTACAGCGTTTCCCAGCTGCTGCGGCGCAGCTGCAAGCTAGCCTTATAGCGCGCCGCATGCGGGAATGCCACCAGCCCTCGCCGCGGCTCGCACAGCAGCGACGCGAGTGCGTGAGGCCGGTTTCCCAGTACCCGACTGGAGCGATGCGGCGGCGCCTGCCGTTCGGCACCCTCCGCACGGGGACGGCCAGCTGCGCAGCTGGCAGCGCGGCCGTGGCAGCCTGTGACGAGCGCGCGCTCGAGACGCACCTTTCTCACCTCCACCCTGCGTCCCGAGCGCTTCTGCTTTCACAAGCTGTACCCCACTCAGGCCGTGCCCTCACTGTCTTCCCGACACCGGCCGCTGTGACCCTGCCACCCGACCACCTCCGAGTGCTCCTTCTGCGACGGCTTCGTCTGCCTCTACCCCTCGCGCCGCGCACCTGCCGCTGCCGGGGTCGCCTCGACCAGCTCAGTTCCCGCTCGCTTGGGCCTCCGAGTGCGCGTCCCGACCCCCCCTCGACATGCGCGCCCCGTTCCGCGAAGGCCGCGCGAGTTGCACGCACGCCCTCGCTGCATGAACATCGAGTTCCCGTCAGCAATGAGCGGTGCATTGAGATCGTCGCAAACGGCCTGCCCCTCTGGCACGGGGCGCAACTCACGCTTGATGCCACGCTCGTGAGCAACGGGGAGCCGCAGTCGGGTGCCGCCACACAGGCCGCCGCTACGCGGCGCCAGACGTACCCTGAGCTCGAGAGCGCACCGCCGACGCGACTCGTCGTCATTGGCGTTGAAGTCGGCGGGCGCTTCGGTGCTGAAGCTGCCGCCTTCCTCCGCCACCTTGCCAGGCGCCGTGCGGCCAGCCTCCCACCACTCGTCCTGCCGGCGCAGGCTGGGTTCAGCGCTGGTCGGGCTTCCTTGCGGTAGCCGCCATGCGCGCCTTTGCGGCGTCCCTCCTTGAGCTGTACGGCCTGGTGGTGACCTTTGCGGAGCCGGAAAGGCGCCCGACCTCCACGAAGTCCTCGCCGAGGTCCGAGGCGGCCCGCCGCTCGTCGCTAGCCGCCTGCCGGCGCCCTGCGCCTAACCAGCCCGTAAACCGCAGTTGTCACGTGCACTGGGACCACGGATACCGTTCAAAAAAAGGCGTGCAGAAAAAAAATGCCGGCATGAGTGTACCACCTTGTTCGCCGCCTTCATACACAAACTCGCGGGCGTACCAGAGGCGCACAAACGGCGACAAGGCTGAAGCCTGCGGCACCTCGCGTAGTGCAGACAGCATGGCCTGCCGGCTATCAGTGTCGAAAGCTGCCGAAATGTCGCGGATAGTACAATCAGCTCGAGTGTTGGCTCGCAGGGTGTGGAGGAGCGCCTCCGCTCCTGTCCTCGTCGTCAGTGCATACTGGTGTGGGGGGGGCAAGCTGCATCAAGCTGTTTCGAGAGTTGTTGAGCCAAAGTCTCCGCAGCAGATCGCCGACGACTAGCCCGGCAAACCATGGGCGATGATTTCGATGCAGCTCATCATGTCAGGATGCCCAACATCCTGCAGGTTCAAGATTCGCACCAAGACGTGTGTGGCGGATTGTGGCGGATGATGGCGGATGCCAACAGCGGGGCATCGCACAGGAGCAAGTGGCACAGGGAGCCGCAAGCGACGGCGAGCTCAAGAGCAACACTCAGCAACCTGGTTGCAAAAGAGCCGGACTGTGAGCCGAGGACAGCGAGCTCAGCAGGCCCCAGCGCGGCGGCGCTCGCTCAACGCATGATCGTCGAGGGCTATGCATGCAGAGAGCTGCCAGCTCCGATACAGGACATCAGGGTCGGATCATCGTCAGTGGGTCGGCACCCGGGCCAAGCTGGGCATGTCAGCTTCAGCGTTAGCATGGGTGTTGGAGGCTTTTGTGTTTGGTGCTGCGCAGGCGACCACACCACAACACGGCGATCGTCCACAATCCACAGTCTGCACTAGGGGCATTATCACGCGCTGCGTCCTGTACACGAAGGAGGGCGATCGATTGCGTCAGCCCAGGACGCCCAGAACGCTGCAGGAGCGTGCATCGCAGCATTGCGCAAGCCTAGACCACCATGACGAAGAGCAAGTCGTGCAACACGGGCAGCTGCAGGTGGCAAGGGGGCCGGCCCCTCGGCAAGCAACAACACGGTCAACGCTGTGAGCACACAAGCATCGTGTGCGCGCGCAAGCTCTCGCGTCAGGCAAGGTTGACGAGTGCGCGAAGGGCGGCTGTGTAAAGAAGCAA